CACTCCCTGCTTGCAGCTGCTCGCCCTGCGCAGGACGCAGTGACTGCCCCTGGGAAGCACTTCCCCGCGCCCCAGCACCTGCCCCCCCGCCCCCGCACCATCAGTCCTAAGAAATAACCTCCCAAAGGCTGGTTTTATTGAACAGTTTATTCTGGTTTAAAATTATAATAAAAAAAAAAAAAAGAGCAACCCTCACTTCCGCGGAGCAGGGCAGACGGGAGGGGTCCCGCGCTGCTGCGCCGGGCACAGGCCCCTCGCCCCCGGGCAGCACCCACCAGCGGTATTTACAATTCATCGTGTTTCATGACACCCGGGACACCTCCTACAGTACACACCGTTATTGCAACAGTACAGCACTTGCCTCTGGTCAGAAACCTCAACAGTTGTTCAGAACCATGATTTGTGGATCCCAAAAGGCATTGTTGTTAACATGCAAAAAACATTACTAAACAATATAATCTAACTTCTACGGTTGCCAAATACTTGACCTTAATAAGGAAACCAATTACAAAATACTTTCTTGTAGTGCTATACAAAAGTTATAAAATTAAGATTCTATCAACCACTTTTAAATATTCCAATTCTCCAACAGTGCAGTTTTCCACATCTTTATCACCACTGAACATTTTGAAAATACAGTAAAAAAAAAATAATCAGCAAATTAGATCAAAATGTTTTAATCTTTGGATCCCTTTATTCCTGTGGCCTTCATACACATACACAGACACAAATGACCAGGTTTCTATTTCAGCATACCAAAAAGCTGTAACTAGTCACTCAGAATTGGCAGAAAGTCCATACTATGTCATTTGTGAATTCACGGTCTTAGAAGCAGAGTCTTAATGTCTCCAAGCTATGGTCTATCAAAATGCAAACAACTTCAAACACTAAGAATTCTTTAAATTGCTTATGCCTACAGGTATTACAACAAAGTTAACATCTCAAGAATTGACACATGGAGACATACTTTTATCCCAGGCATTCCAGGAGAATCGTGAACTCATGTGCCTGGGCCATTATTTTAAAAAGTTAATATTCATCACTAAGTAAATTAATTGCAAACTTTGACATATGAAAATTTATTTTCTCCTTATTTGAAAATATCTCCTTAATTTGGTCAAATCCTGTGATATGCCAGAAACTACAAAATTAAATTCTTGCAAGAGAAGTGAAGAGCGTATCCAGTTTCGTGTAATGGAAGAACATTTTCAAATCTTCATTATAATCCAAATATAAAATCAAACATTTAAGCCTGAAAAGCTGCTAAAGAAAAAACCCAACTAATTCAGTATTCTTCAGCATATCAACTTTTGCAATAACACAGTATGTTTGCCGACTTAAAAATGTTTATTCTTTAAAAAATTAGTTGCTTTTTATACAGCTATACAAAGTTTGTAATGTTTCTTTGGCAATGGGATATAATGGAATTTTACAACTATATAAAAAGTTTCCTTTGCCTAAGAAACAGTATTTACTGTGTGTACATATTTCACTGACAAAGCAAGTTTTCTACTGTCCAGCACCCTAGTTGATAAAAGTACAACTATCTCAAAAGGGATATTACAGGATTTCCAAAAAACAACCTTCAGTGGATCAAAACACTCACAGTATCGACGGCCTTCTGCATACAATTGTCCTTACAACTTGAAGCAATTATCAAATACAGTTTAGTAATAAGAAAAATCCTTTCAGTGATGAAAAAATACTTAAACTCCATCGAAGTACTGCTTTATAATTAACTATACATAAGAAATTACTCATCCTTCTGTCTCAAATATATTTAATGCTCACTGCTTTCAAAGATGGCCATTTTTCAAAAGTAACTGCATTACACCCCTTTGAAATTAAATAGTTAAATCCCAGTGCTGGTGACAAGTATACAGCAAATTAACTTCATTCTTTGCAGAGGTTGAAACTAATTCTCTGGATCAAGAAGATCTAGACGTTCACCCAGTTTCAGCTTTCTTGTAGACTATGCAGCAACTTTGTTGTCTTTCTGGAGGGAACAACAGTAGAATGTTAACATTAATTTGCACAACAAACCTCACAAATTGATCTGGGCAACAGCACTGTAGGAAGATGCCCCGTGACAGACACGTCCCACCTACTGCAACCAAGACAGGAGCCCTCCCTATGTGGTCACGTCAGCACCCAGTCAGAACAGCCTCAGTCACTGGGACCAGACATGTGGCCTCACTCTTCACACCACCTCCTCCTCAGAGGCAAGGATGTGAAACTCCTTCATCCAAAAATTCAAATCTTTGATCTTCAACCCCTCAGCTGCCAAAAATTTCTTTAAATCACAAGACTAATTGTTGCAAACTAATGAAGGAATAGCCAAAGGACAACCAGAAACTAGTTCGGTAGTGCCAAGAAAAGTGACCCGTGTTGAAATTATTTTAAGATTTTGGTTTTTGCAAGCAACTGATTTCTGCCTATTTACATAATCTGTATGATCAGTGAGCTTTCACACAGAAGAGAATTTATGTTATTTCCAAGAAATAACATATCCTCTAAGATACCACTAGCACTGAATACATCACTTCAGTAGTGGTGTAATAATTATATTTATGCATCCTTTGAATGGCTGGTAGGAAAGTGATGATCTTCAACAGGAAACAGAGAAATGGATGGCTTAATAGTGTTGCAAAAGCAACAAGCTGTGTAACTATTGTAAAAGAAGATTCTGCTTTTTAGCTGTCATAGCTCTTACAGAAAAAGATCACTATTTCTATGCTTTCATGACTATAAAAGCATGTTTGTACATCATATTTCTTTCGTTAGTAGACTCATATGGTGGCTTGTGCATAATGCTTAAAGGAAGTTTAAGTTTCAGTCATATTTAACCAAAACCAAGTTAGTAGTACTTATTTTAATATTTTAAAAACACTTTCTCTGAGGGATGGACAGGGAGGGGTCTATCTCCCAGAGTTCCTTTTTACTGACTGACTGGCTGAAGAGAAGTCCACCCTGCCTCAGTTTCCCCAACAGCTAGCGGATATAATAATGTAGTTATAGGAGAATAAAAGAACCAAAAAGAAAGCCAACAGGACCTTGCAGAACTCAAATATTCTTACTTTCCTGTTCGCAAAGTATCATTGCTGTGTTTCAGTAACTTCACCTTTCTATTTTAAGTGTTATATAAGACCTTAGAAGTCTATAGTTTCAGCCAACTATTTCACAAAGAATTTTAAAGATGTTGCACACTAGAAGGACGTTAAAATTACTTCCTCTATCTTCACATTTTAGAATACTGTTTAGGGAAATCCTTGCAATTCCTATTTCTGACACCTGCATTAAATCTACTGAGCTTTGACTCCTCCCCTTCAATTCCAGCTATAGAACAAATATTTAGGGCATGTGAATGAAGTTAGCTTTTAGTTTTGGTTGCTGTTGATAGTAAAACATTGCTATGTAACTAAAAGCCCAGCATTAATGGACTTACAATTAAGTAGATCAGAGTACCCATAAAACACTATTCAAAGAATTCTAGTCCAACAGCAAATGAAAAATCAAGAGTTTTTTTACCAGTAGTTTCCAAGAATAATGAATCAGGTCATAGTAAAATTAAATATAGTTTACCCTATATTCAAAGTCAGCAAACTCCCTGCCTCCACGACCTCCTCTGAATCCACCACGAAATCCTCGGGGGGCAGTGAAGCCACCTCTCCCACCTCCGCGTCCTCTTCCACCTCGGAAGCCAATCCCCGCTCCTCTGCCTCTGAACCCTCCACGGCCACGATTGGGACGCAGAGGTATTCCAAAGGTCTCAGCATTTAATCTTCTTTCCTCAGCCCAGGTGGGTCGCCGTTCTCTGTCACAAAAAAAGGGACATGGATTGCTTTAAAACACACCAGAAGGGAGATTGCCTGACTTAGTTAGAATCATCAGAAAGTCCATGAAAATAAAAATGATGCATTCATCATATTGTACATCTCCACACAAACCCTTCTGCAACAATCTAGGTGTCTGCCACAATTCATTTAACTCAATGAACAGGGATATGTAAAATGCAATGTGTTAATAATGCTGTAAGTTTCTCATACAGAAGGACAAAATTGTATCCTCTGCAAACAACACAATATATTAAAATAAATAAAATCTGTCTGCACTTTAAGACAAGAAACAGAAAGTAAGAGTTTGCAGCTATGTATGTTGTTATTTTATCTAGCTGTCAGTAAAATAAAACAATCCCTCCCACTGCATAATCCAAAACAGGTCAGCAACCCACATTGCCTCATTTAATAAAAAGGAACAGCAAAAGCTAAGCTTTAATTTTCCTGAAATGCTCTTTTCCCATTCCAACAGCACTACTGGCTGAGACAGTTATGTTATCTACATAGAAACCATTACTAAAGCACAGTCTTAATTGATTTAACTGAAGTGGTAATTCAGTAGCAAAACAAAAAAACCCACTTCAGGAAATCTGGAAAGGAATGTCTACAGTAAGTTCTAGAAGTATGGATCTGTAATAACACTTAAAAATCTTCCTGTTGAAGTATTTCACCTGCTCACAGAGACATTTTGTGCTTCATATTCCTGCTTTATTTTTGCCCACTGCACGTGGAAATAAGCTTTACTCACTTTCCAGTCAGAGCTGATGGTAACAAGTAGTGCTGACACTACCTTATGACATAAACATGCATTAAATAGATTAATAAGCTTCCTCTTTCAGGCCATACCTATTGTCATCACAGGAGATGTTATCAAAGAAGGATTTGGTTTTGTCATAGTAACAGTTGGGTCCAAGGGGATCTTCCTCATCCGCATTCCCTTCACTATTTTGGGTATCAACACCTGAGTCACCTTTGTCTTCTCCATTTACAGGCTTCTCTGGTTTCTCAAGTTTATCTTCTGGAAAATAAAAGTAAACAGAAGTCTTCCAGACCATCATACTAAACAAAACAGTAGGGTTAAGTTATTAATTTATTATTATTCATTTAAGTTATTAATTCCTCACAAAAGCCATTCCATGTCTTTGCTCATCCCTGTTGCCCTTCTCCTTTGTCTTCTGGCCTTGCTGTTATCAATCTCCTTTGAGACACATGGCCAGTGTTGAAGATTTGCTGTGAACTGACTTTATGAAATACTTCCTCCCTAATAATGCCTGAAGTTCAACTGTTTTTAATGGTACTGAAAAAGTAGCTGATGGTTCAAAGAAACTAGCTATTATGATCTTAAAGTCTCATTCCTAAATGCCTACAGTGTAAATCCCATGATGCTACGCATAAACTGCAGATAACCAGTTCAACCTTTCTGCAATGCAACCACAAATTACAACTCTGTCTCAGATAATATTTCTACAGCTTTTTATGGCTAGCTTTCCTTTTTTTTTCCCCCCTCAGAATAATCATGAAGAGTATTAACAGCAAATAGTCAACTCATTTAAAAAAGATACAGAAAAAGAGGCAGACACCAGAGAACAAATCCTAGGGGACCCAACTTGTGTTTTTTTCTACACTGAAATTTGATAATTTATTCCTATTTTTTGTTTCTCATCTTTTAGCCAATCATTTACTGAAATAGAGAACTCCCTATTTTAACCTGTAACAATTTTGTCCAAAAATAGTAGCAGCAGTGTAACAAATAGGTGTCACAAGAGAATGAGGTAATCAAAACAGAAGCCTGCTAGAAAATAGAAGTGCTGGCAGTATGGACTCGGTCTACTCCCATGTTTCTTTGGAAAAGGGTAAAAGCAAAGAAATTATAAATATTTCCTTAAATTGAAACTCTCATGCACCCTCAAGAAAAGTTCTGATTCCAAAATAATGTTTTTTGATTGCTTTTAGTTTAGTAATGATTGAAAAATATAAAATACGGTATTTCTTTTATTACATATTTTACAGAACTAAAAAATTACTGGTAATGCTACTCCAGTAATTTGCATTTTTAACAAAAGACTTATTAGAACATGCTTGTGATATCTGCTAGTTAAAATTCCCATAAAACTCAGCTATCAAAGCAAGTATTTAATTAAACATTATTTCAGCTTATTTGTTCACCAATTTTTAACAATTTTTTTTAAATTACATGACTTAGCAGAACATGCCTTCTAAAGATTACTCTCCAAGGTAGGATTAAAACAGCAAAGCACCATTTTTCCATGCTCAAATCTTAAGCAAAAATCAGTTTACCTTTTAGTTTAAGTTTATTATGAAATTCTCTATCAATTTCCTCCTTGTTGAATTGTGCATTTGCACTTTCAAAGTCGAAGTCCTTCTCAAACTTCATTGGACCATCCCTTCTAATACTAAATCTTCCTCGGCCCCCTCTGTGACCTCCGCGGCCTCTCCGTGCTGAAGGTCCACCTGGAACTGAAAAAAAGAAAAATTCTGCTTGGTTTTGTTTTGCAGATTGTTTTGTCTTTCAGGGTGGTGGAGATGGTTGGTTTTTTGGGTGGCAGTTTTTTGTTTTGTCTTTGAATTCCTGGGGTAAACAGGTTGGGACTTCATGCATCCTCTTCCTGCACTTCTGTTGTTAAAAGTCCTGTTGGACGATCTTGTAATTCATAAATTCACTTACAGCAAGTATGGCAGTGACACAGAAAGCATAATACTAATAAACATGGGTACTAAAAGACTTTCTAGAAAAGTCATTAAAAGCTTTCTGAAGAAGAGTTAAAATGTTAGCTGCTTTCCAGTCATTTTCATAGAAGGGTAACCGCTTTTATTTCATGCTAATGTGTTTATAAATAGTGCTTGGGTTTGCATTTTTATTAAAATTGTTTAATATAGATCAACCAGAAGATATTTTCTCTTTAATGTTGACTTTTTGTGCTTGTCTTATTCTGACCCAATGCAAGGTTACTGTTGCCCACTAGAAACAATCATCTGAAAGCAATCTAAATACATCAGTTCATTATTACTGTAATCTAAAAGGCAAGATTTCTGGACGTTAGAAACAAAGTCCTAGCACTTTGCAAGTTATACACAATGTTGGCTTTTAGCAGACTTTTAAAACTTAATTAAGTCTGTAAACAATGATAGCTATTTCTCAAAACAAGATTTACCAATTTGTCGTTTGTTTTCATTTCTGAGCTCATTTTCTGATCTTGAAACCTTGTGTGCTTCAGCTAAAGTTGGAAATAAAAGAATTGTTTATCCAATTAGGTATTTTTGATCATACTTTTGTATATAGTTCAGATTTTAAAAAAATCCAAACCTATAAAAGTAAATCACAAGTTTAACTTCATAAAAGAAAAAAAAAAATTTAGAATATATGCCTGACTTTAAAAATAAAAATATATATAATCCAGGTCCCTGCTGATCAGTCTACTACTAATAGACAGCAGGAAAAACCTACATATTACCCTTAAAAAGCACCCTGAAAGAAAATAAGCTGTATGAAAATTATCCAAAGCCACCTCGTCTGTGCTCTTGACTCTCTAACGATTTTTGGCCAGCAGACATCAAAGGTCTGGCTGGTACAGGACTCCTCCTCCCAACTGGTGCTGGAGTAGGCAAGTGGGCTGAAGCTGTTTGTACTGCTTGTTCCATGGTGGGGCTCCTTCTCAGATGATCTATCTGAGGGCTTGAACGACCTGGGGAAAAAAAAAAAAAAAAAAAAAAAATTAAAACCAAAACACAAAGAGCTATTTCTCATCACAAATTTGAGTTACTGGTCTCAACCAATCTAGACTGACAGGTTTATCTGCCTTACCAGTCAATACAGCTGTGTCCAAAGTAGAAATAAATATTTCTGCACCCTCAGATCCACTAATCCAGAATGAAGGATATTTAGCAATTCCCCTTCCCCCAGTCTAAAAGAAAAAAAATGGGTTGGACAATTAATCCCTACCAACCCATCCATGATGTGCATTTAGCTGTGGAATGAAGATTTTTGATTGACTGGAAGTAAAAATAGTCTCTGCCTCCCTGGAAAGCCAAGTGGAAAGTGACTGTTCCCAAAGGCAGAGATAAGAGTTATATTACTGTAATCTCATTTCATCTTATGTACTCTGTTGTATGACCACCACAGAATAAATGAACAATCATGGTTAGTGTCAGGTATAATGCAAATTAAGGAGCTATGAAAGCTTCCTCACTAAGTGCTGTTAGTACTTTTCAATTTGCAACAGCAATGACTGGAGCCAGAAGCATGTTTAGAATGGAGACGTTTCATCCATCCAGACAAGCTGATGACACCATATAGGTAAATTTACTAAGAAATTAGAATAAGACTAAAGTCCAAGTAAGAATACTGTCATATCCCGTATAGAAGCTGAACAAAAGAAAAAACAAAACAAAACACAACAATACTCTTCCCCAAGCCAACCACACCACACTTAAGATGTACAAAGATGACAAATATTTTTTAAAGCAAACACACAGAAAAAACTTCTTGGTGCCCCACAGGAAGTTTTGTCACAGAATTTATGTTCATCTGGAGCACATGTCATACATTAAGTTCAGGAACCATACAGGTTTTAACTTTGCCTGCTGAAAACCAAGCTACTCTTTCAACACAGAAACAGTGTGTGCTCAGGGTACTTCTTTTCCCCCCTTCAATTAATGCAACAAAGTAGAAGCTGTTTTGGGTAACCCACTGAACTACTCCTAGAAAGCAGTCCTAACTGGTATACAAATCTCAGCTAAAATTTAGGATAAAACCTGTTTGCTGTGGTTTAATAAGACTGCATAAACTTAAATATAACTTTACTAATATATCTTAGCACATGCTTTTACTTGCAGCAATGACGAGTAAAAGAACAGGAAATAATGTCTTTCGGATTTTGAGGAGCAATCTTAACACACTTGCATGAAAGTGAGGGTAAGGTGCTCAACATTTAGTTTTGTTTTTCTTTGCCACTCAAAATCATCAAGAATTTCCTTTCTGCATCTGCTGTCTTCTTCCAATATTACACAAATGACCCATACAGTTTCTATTACTATTAAGCTGGCTTGTCATGTCACTAGCTCTACAGACAATCAGGTCTTCTGATAATATTATTTATTTAAATATATATTAACAAAAAAAACACCATTATGAATAAAAACTAAACAAATTGCAGGCTGAAGAACTTCACAATTTAATCAGTGCACAGTACCTTGAGTTTTGTCATGCTATCGACAAAACCAGTTGTTGAATTTCCATATGCACTTATTGCTAACAACATTCAACTGAAACAAGTTCTACTCTTCAACATTGATGCTTTAAGGGTAACAACAAAGGTGCTGCTAACAGTTACCTATGCAGCACACCAAGATGCAGGACAACACATTTAAAGAGCAAGTAAAAAGCCTCTCAGTGCTTTTGGGTTTTGATATCAAGTCTTCATGACAGAACTCAGCCGTTTGGTTAACATTTCTGGCAAACACCTAAATCATAGGGACATGACTGGTCAAGAAAAGATTCAAAACTATTTACCTTGAGACATCTGTGTTTTTAGTGATCTTGCATCTGTTGTAAATGCAGAACCAACAGCAGTGCTCTGTGACATGCTAGCACTGGCTGAAGAGTCTGTTCCAAAGGATGTTAAAGAACCTCCTGCTTTGAGAGAAATAATAAAGTTGTAAAACCTGGTTTAAACTTCTACTTTTTTTTTTTTAAATTATCACTACATAATTAATGAAGTCACATTAGGCAGATATTCTAAAATACACTCAAGTCTTACAACACACCCTAAGTTTGATGCAATGTACATACATTAAGTTTGTAAGACTGATTTTTAGGCAGTTGATAAAAAGAGGAGCAACTAACCCATGCAGCACACAAATACTTCCAGGCATGTACTTCATGCCAAGCTAACATCTCATGACTAGTGTGAGCATGGATTGCCGGATAACCTAGACCCTTGGTTAAGGCACACACCACCTGGTCAACCTGGGATACCAGATGTCCATAGTACAGCTAAATGGGGCTTTTGTGAAGAAGCTGCCTTTAACACTTGTGAAATATAATGAACACCTGATTAATGTAAAGAAGATATATGGAAGAGAATTAAGTCATGAATACAGGAACCTTTCTCCTATGAGATAGGGTGCTTAGTTCTCCATCAAAATCACTTACATTTGAGCTGCAAAGACCATTAAAAACTCTGCTTTTGGAGCTAAACTGTGGGATTGATATAGACTGAAAAATTTTGATCTGCCCTTAGGATGAGATGTTGATGGAATAACAAATAGCGATTACTGTCTATGCACTCATTTGCAATTTCACTTTGGGGAAAACACCAAATAAATAAAATGAACATACCAACTCCAACAGCACCGAACTGCTGCCCCACCAGTGGGCTTGGACTAAACTGACTGTATGCCGGCATTCTGCCAAAAGGACCATAGGACCCCACAGATTGGAATGAAGATGTAGTTGAAGATCCTAGTGAAGACTAAAGACAACACATTTGCAGAAATTCATGTTTACAGAAAAAGGAGGAAATAGTTCTGCAAGGCAGGAAATGCAGAAACTCTAGAACTGTTTGTTAAACTTACCCTAACACCGTCACTGTGGCTGATACATACACAAGACCTAAACACTGATAAAGTTACCTCTTTTAATAATTTAAGCTAACGCAGAACCAAAAATAGCACACGCAAAAAAATGAATGACACACATTACTCAGTATGAAAACCCAAAACAGAGAACAGTTAGCAGAAAATATTTCCAAAATTATGTGTAAAGTTCAGAAAGCACTTCTACACTTCCAATATCACAAACCTGTTAAAATGGTACCCTAGATTTTTGCAATCTTTTCCCTAGGACCCAAGATACTGAACTCTTTGTCAAGTACATGTATAAGCTTTTGTTGGCAAACTTGGAAAATGTGGTACCTTTCCCCCTGAAGTTTCAAAAACCACACAAACAATGAGGGACCCAAGCATACTGGAGGAGGGTGGGGTTATTACGATTGTAGGGGTTATCAGTAATGCAATTTCACAGCTCTCAACTACCACTGACAGAAGGAGTTGCACCAAATTTAGCAAAAGACATCAGCAGATTGCAAGGGCACTTCGTAAGAAGTATGCAAGATAAAACTTCTTCATAACAGTTAAACATTAGAAATGTAAACACCTAAATGGAATTATCAGATTCCATGTGAACCAAGGATTTCCATCATGCTCTCAGTGTTAATTTTGACACCCCACAAACACTATCAACAAGCCAACAGATTTCAGAGATCAAAAATAACTGTCAAGTCTACTTGCTAGAAAATAACAGCTTAATTAACCCTGAAGACTTGAAATAATAAGTTGCTTTCTATTCAGCAATAAAATACTCCCTTTTCAAATAACTGTACTTTAGCATGAAGCCTTTTTAAAAACACACAAGTTAGATGAAATGCTTTAAAAGTCAGCAAATAAAAGTTGAATATTAAAATTCAAAAGAAAACAAAACAAACAACTACCTACTGATCTGGAGAGGTTTCAGCATCTACTCCACTTAACTTATACAAAGTCTGATCTTTCCACAAGTCCTGCACATGTGGCCTCCAAGCCAAGTGCCTTCCAAAAAAGGTATCAAGGTCTACGAAAAGTTACTTAGAAAAAACAGCAGCTTTTTTATCCAGTGCATTGTATTACAGTTAGATTTCAATGTTGATTTTCACAGTTAAAAACATAATCAACACATGAAAATCTTTCCCAAATTGTTTCAATTGGGTTGTGAACTTACAGCAACAAAATCTTTTATGTTTAAACATTCAGCTAAAAAGCATATAAAGCTACCAGGTTATATGTTCAGCAACAAACATCTACAAATATGCTTTGACTTACCTGAACAATAGCAGGGTCCTGCGGCAAAGAACACTGAGGCTTTGGTGGCTCACAGACAGTTAGGTCTTTAATGTCACTGCCACGGAATATAATATACTCAAAGACTTCATCACGAGGTGGTATAGGTCTATCAGTTGGTCTGTCTTCTGTACCAAAGGAGCGAACTACAAAATTGGGAAGGGAGGAAAAATAATACAAACACACCACATTCAACAAAAAGGTTTCAAATATACCGTAGAGACCAATAGCTTTAAATAATAAAATTTTGTTGAGCAAATAAACTGATTAAATAGGCAGCATAGTCTTTGCCAATATCAATTGCTCAGACTTAAATGAGTAACTTGATCTTACAAATTTTGGTTAAACATCAAGCAAAAAGACAACTCTTCTATTTCTCACATCAACTCACATGTTGAATATTTTGACTGTTTTGGGGGGATAAGAGAAAGCACCAAAGCAGGTTTTTTTCCTAAGGGTAACACTTTCTGGACATAATAGAAACAGGAACATGGACTAAGCCTAGTAAGCCATTCCTGTGAATCAAGGACTCCATGAGTTTATGTACTTCATATTCTTCACTTGCAAAACAGGAAAAAAAAAATGCTAATACTACTAAAAACTAGAAAAAACAAAATCTGGGAATTATGTGGTACATACATACAATTTCCACTATGTAAACGGCCATCTTCTTGCTGGTATAAAGGTCATATGATTTCTGTCAAATTAAAGTAAGCTCACTGGGGCATAGGCATATTCCTAAGCAGGCCTGCATAGTATGCAACATACCAAGACAAATTTTTTTTGTACGTACTTAGGTAGATTCCAACAGTTTTCAAATTGCATAGTGATGAAGCTTTTTGCTTTGCACTACATAAAATTCCTCCCACTGCACATGGATAGCATGACTTTACTTTCACTACCTTCTCCAAGAATTTTTCCATACCTTAAGACTATAAATCCTAGGTGAACATAAAGTGAAACAAAAAAAATAAATAAATTTAAGTGTATGTCTCCAAGAGCTAGTTTTGTAAGCAAAAGCTAAATAATTAATTTAAACCAGAAAAGAACAACAAAAACAAACTAAACAAAGAACCCAACAAACCATTATAATCACATTCTACTAAAAATCAACTTGCAGCAGCTTTAACAATGCCTCATGACTTTCTTTGCTCTAGCCTTTTAAGAGGTTTTTTGTTTGCTTTGTAAGGTACCACAGGTTATGCTGAGAAAACATCCATATTTCACTTTAATTTACCAGAGTTAGTTTTCCCTCTGATTTCAGATGCATCAACAATTTGCAGACATCATTAGGCACTTATTTGCAGCCATAAAACCATTAGCCAAGAAAAGTAGAGATTCCTGTAGAGCTGCATAAAGTGATACTGAGTCATTTCTCAGGCTGCACCATCTTTCCATCACTGTTGCTTCTTCTAGTACTGCATAAACAGAGCTTATCAGTTAAATATTAGAATCTTTTTGAAAAACATTATTTAGAGGCAAAAAGATCAACTCAACACTACAATGAAAAATAATATTAAGTGGCTATGATTATTTTTCTCATACTCATATGATTTACTGAGCAGAATTTCATCAACTTTTTTATTTCTGTGCATCAGGAAGTCTGTGTTTACAGCAAGTGCTGTAAAAAGGCACATAATAAAATTAAAAAGCATCAGAAGTATTTTCAATACCAAAAATTGGAATTAATCTTTAAGGGATTCAGTTGACTATGCAACTAGATCAAGACACCGATAAGATCATCAATGGTTTTGCAATAAAACACAGCAAGAATTGCTACAAAGAGCTTGTGGGATTTTCTCTAGCGCTTCTCTGCTCCAAACCAACCCGGTTTTAGTGCAACTCCCTGCAAAATATAAGGATAATTTCACCCAATCAGGATTAACCCTGATGGAGAGAGGTAGACAAACTCCTCTGATCTGGAGTTCAGGCTTTCTTTCTCACCCCAAAGCAACAAAAATAACCATCCCTGAGTCTAATTTCCTTTTAAAGCAAGGAAACAGAACTGCATGTGCAGCGATCTAAGAAAACAGCTTGAATAAAGGCTACTCAGTGTTTTTGCAGTGTCCCAAGCAGATTCTTTAGGTAACAGTATAATAAAGAGTTGGATGCTAATTTTAATATTTTGCAATGGGACAGCAATCTTCACAGTTTCTTCTTTCCTAGCTTGGATTAGGATTTAACATAATCTGAGCTCATTAAAATAAAAAGTATAATATTGAAGATGGCCAATACAACAAGATTATGGAAAGAAATAGCTTTTTAACATAGTTTTGCCTAACATGAAATACTAAGTTGCCAGCTACTGGAGCAGTAGCAGTCTGAGTTCTTATCCATATGTGTCTCTTGGGGCATCTTCTCAGACTACATCCTTCCTCCAGAGCAAGGTACATAGCAAGATACTGAAGAGTGAGAGGAAATGAAAATAAGCATGTCAAAGATCATGTAATCCAGGGCTACGACAAACCAATTTAGTCTTACCATGTCAAGGTAAGGTCTTTCAGGTTTTTTGTTTTAAAATTAGCTAAACTGTCTTTGTGACTTGCAAAAAAAAAAAAAAAAAGTCACCATCACATGTTAAAAGCAAACGTTTTTGTTAGTGTAAATACACACACTTAAGTAGCTAGCTAGAAAGAAACTAATACTATTGAGCCTAACAAAATTCACATGTGATTTTAAGCCCAAAGGAGTTCCACCAATTTCATGGTACAGTGCTGGAAACAAATTTTTGCACAGATTTTGACTGACTTCAATGTTACTACTATATTTTAATGCATATTACTGTATTATACTACTATAGCATCCAAAAAAACCTCTGCAATTTTCCCGTTAGTTAACAGCAATTACCTGTTGATTAACACAGAAAAACACTTTGTTAATCAGAAGCCAAGCTATATATTCTATTCTACTAGCAGAAGAGGACTCTGTTCCCATGTAACATGGATGTACTAACACAATCTTATCAGCCTTTCTTAATTCACAGCACACGTACACAGAAACCAGTTTTTTCTCACCCAAGGCACCCATGAGAAGCATGACATCTAAAAAGAGATCAACACTATCAGAACAAATAACTTCAATTGCCATCTCTCCAAAGCATCACAATTCTTTCCCTGTAAACATTCTTAGATGCCTGCACGCCACATTACAGGAAAAGTATTAATGTGTCAGGCTCATACCTTCAGAACAATTAATTTGGTCTGCATTCTCTTATTGATAGGGGTGGCTTGTTAACAGGGAGATAGATATGAGAGAAGTAGCCAGGAGAAGGCTTTGACAATAGGAATTTTTCTGCTGCGACACACAGACTTGGTTTGGCACACATGCCCTAAACCTCAAGACACAGAGGGAGCATTTCATTTAACTGATTAAAAAAAAACACAACCTGATGAAAATTTAACCCTTTTGTTTCCTGCTCCCACCTCTGAACTATAAAAAATGCTCAAGTCTTCACAAGAATTTAACTTTATTCTATGATTCTGAGCCTCTCACCCGATTATTACTGTGTAAAACTCTAAAAGAAAGGGAAGTTTTCATTCATGTATCGTTAGACTACAGGAAGCACTATCACAGATGGTTGAAAATGCCAAAAATACCAGAAGTTTATCTACTACTTAAATTACTGAAAGCTATTTCATTAACCTATATTAATTATAACAGTTCTAAATGCAACTCTTGATGGTCCTACAGTTGATAAGTGAAAGCTGACACATTATACCACAGGCATAATATATAATTTTCTGTTTCTTATACTTGCATCAACAATAGGATCCCCTATTGTTGGCAAGAAAGAAAGCCTTTTCTGAACCTATACGGTTGTTCTGCTAACACGGCTTAACCACATTAAAAATCTCTCTCTCTAAATAGGTGCCTTGAAATAGAAAGACATTGTGTACTACTAGCATGATCAAATCTAGTTTTAAATGTTGCAACATGTAAGATCAAGCACAATCAGTCACAAACCAGTTTGCAGCAAGAACATTTTACTCCTAGACATGGCTTGCAAACATTCAATTATTAAATTGGTTGGACTTAGGATAATTTTTTAAATTAATAAAAATAAACTACCCTGCACTCAACCCAGGTAACAGTTACATGAAGCCAACCACACAGCAGAACAACTGAAAGCATCGAGTGATCTTTTGGGTTTGGTTTTTTTTTATTTTTCTGAGAGAAAATTTTGTATTTGCAGTAAAGATCCACAGTAAACAGCTTTGGTTTGACTTCTGGACTCTTCACAGGAAGAAGAGGTAACTATTACCCGATCCACCTATTTACAGACAGTTCAAAGAAAGATCTGCTGTTTTACATACAGACCTGGCCATCATTAACCACACTTGTCACCTCATTCACCTTCATTTATTCAGAAACTTGAACAACAGAACTCGGTATTTTGTTTGTGAGCACAGTGAACTGTTCTACAGCCTAACGTTGTTATCAGCTTCCAGAATAATCTCAAGATTTTTGGTTACAGATGGCCTAGAAATACTGGTTTATTCTCTTCTGAATCGTGACACTATACTACAAAATGCTTTCTTCAGCTAACTCAGCAAAGTTTTATTAAAGCAAATTTAATGGTTTAGATTTACATTTCTGTTGAGCGGTATGGAAAGAGAGTAGATTAGATTTGTAACTGTAGTCTGAGCTATCTTAAATATGTACACTTCAGTATATATGTCATAACATGACTTGACTGCTCGAGAAGTCTTCCAAAATCGGCTTGGTCAGCATTGAAACTGTCCAACTTACAGCAAGACTATCACAAGCTCCTCAAGGATGGGATTCTTCTAAGTGCAACAATCACAGCATGCAACTGGAATTTCTAAACATTTACTTTTTTAATGACAGTGCTCATCTTTTTCTCATATAAACAAATACTAGCTGTTCTTTTTAAACACACAATTCTTTTCCAGCAAGGTAATTTAACCTGAAGGCAGCAAGCAAAAAGAAAAAATAAAAAAATCACATAATGAAAGTCAATGCCACATAAAGGAACCATGCAAGCCTGGATCCAAACCTACTACAAGAAGTTTCCAAGCATGCATAGCATACACGTAAGAATTTACAAAACAAAGCAATCTACTTCCTAGATAATAATTGCTGGGGAGTAGGAGGGAGAGAAGAGGGCCTTGAAGTGATAAGGCACACATATAAGAATACCAACAGAGGCCAATGGGAGATGAAAGCAAACAAACTCCACAGACCAGCTACTATACACACCAACTCTGTAAAATGTTAACACATTGTCACTATGCTCGAATGCTAAGGCTATCGTATCAAACAGGAAATGAGGTTCGGAATAATCTCAGTCCAAAATACTTTATTTACACAAAGAGTAATTTTTCTCTTTACCTAATGACTGGATAAAATTTGCTTTCATATGTGCATTTAGATTACTTAGCAAGACCTTACAGATTAGAGAAGTGTAAAGTAAACTACCACTGAATTTTGCAGAATCCATTATTATAAGTTATTAAAAATCATTACTTAATTTTTTACATAACTATTACACATCCACTGCTATAGCTAATATACTTGTGTATCAGCAAGCACAAGAAACAGCAAAGTCCTTCGGAAGTCCAGTTTCAAAGTTCCTCTTTTTTACTCCACAGTCTTTGACTCTCTTCTAAGCAAACATACCGTCCTAACTTTCTTATTCATACACACACACGTACTGTCACACCAGAGTCTGTACTCCATTTCGAGTTACAAAGCACCACAGCTACCTCAGAAATGAAGAGCTCACGATCAGCCTTCTTTGTTGATAACCTAGGGATCCCCTTTAGACCCAAGCTGTCTCCTACTCCAGAATGCAAGAGTTCAGTCGTAAGCCCCCCTGTAGGTCTGGGATTCTTACGATAGAAATAAATCCTCTTTCCACCTTCCTTCTCCTACTCCTTTTTACGCACCAACTAAGGACCACTTCCACCGCTAAGGGCTTCACACCTGCACTCTTTTCAGAACTCCTTTGAGCAGCCCCATCCTAGGTAACGTTCCTAGCTCCTTTTCGCGACCGCACCACGCTGGGATTCCATACTACAAAATGCTTTCTTCAGCTAACTCAGCAAAGTTTTATTAAAGCAAATTTAATGGTTTAGATTTACATTTCTGTTGAGCGGTATGGAAAGAGAGTAGATTAGATTTGTAACTGTAGTCTGAGCTATCTTAAATATGTACACTTCAGTATATATGTCATAACATGACTTGACTGCTCGAGAAGTCTTCCAAAATCGGCTTGGTCAGCATTGAAACTGTCCAACTTACAGCAAGACTATCACAAGCTCCTCAAGGATGGGATTCTTCTAAGTGCAACAATCACAGCATGCAACTGGAATTTCTAAACATTTACTTTTTTAATGACAGTGCTCATCTTTTTCTCATATAAACAAATACTAGCTGTTCTTTTTAAACACACAATTCTTTTCCAGCAAGGTAATTTAACCTGAAGGCAGCAAGCAAAAAGAAAAAATAAAAAAATCACATAATGAAAGTCAATGCCACATAAAGGAACCATGCAAGCCTGGATCCAAACCTACTACAAGAAGTTTCCAAGCATGCATAGCATACACGTAAGAATTTACAAAACAAAGCAATCTACTTCCTAGATAATAATTGCTGGGGAGTAGGAGGGAGAGAAGAGGGCCTTGAAGTGATAAGGCACACATATAAGAATACCAACAGAGGCCAATGGGAGATGAAAGCAAACAAACTCCACAGACCAGCTACTATACACACCAACTCTGTAAAATGTTAACACATTGTCACTATGCTCGAATGCTAAGGCTATCGTATCAAACAGGAAATGAGGTTCGGAATAATCTCAGTCCAAAATACTTTATTTACACAAAGAGTAATTTTTCTCTTTACCTAATGACTGGATAAAATTTGCTTTCATATGTGCATTTAGATTACTTAGCAAGACCTTACAGATTAGAGAAGTGTAAAGTAAACTACCACTGAATTTTGCAGAATCCATTATTATAAGTTATTAAAAATCATTACTTAATTTTTTACATAACTATTACACATCCACTGCTATAGCTAATATACTTGTGTATCAGCAAGCACAAGAAACAGCAAAGTCCTTCGGAAGTCCAGTTTCAAAGTTCCTCTTTTTTACTCCACAGTCTTTGACTCTCTTCTAAGCAAACATACCGTCCTAACTTTCTTATTCATACACACACACGTACTGTCACACCAGAGTCTGTACTCCATTTCGAGTTACAAAGCACCACAGCTACCTCAGAAATGAAGAGCTCACGATCAGCCTTCTTTGTTGATAACCTAGGGATCCCCTTTAGACCCAAGCTGTCTCCTACTCCAGAATGCAAGAGTTCAGTCGTAAGCCCCCCTGTAGGTCTGGGATTCTTACGATAGAAATAAATCCTCTTTCCACCTTCCTTCTCCTACTCCTTTTTACGCACCAACTAAGGACCACTTCCACCGCTAAGGGCTTCACACCTGCACTCTTTTCAGAACTCCTTTGAGCAGCCCCATCCTAGGTAACGTTCCTAGCTCCTTTTCGCGACCGCACCACGCTGGGATTCCCACAGCCCTCCCTGAAGCCGGTGGAGCAGGGGCCTCCGCAGCGCCGTCGCGCCACCGCTCTCCCAACCCCACGGCTCCCTCCAGCCCCGCCGCGGTCCCGCAGCCCCCGCAGCCCCCGCCGCAACCGCTCCGCGGGGAGCGCGGGAGGACGCGCCTCGGGCCGAAACTACGCGGGCTCTTAGCAAAGCTCCAGCGAGCCCCCCTCCCAGCTGCTGTTGGGCCCTCGCAGCCGCAGGC